TTAAATTTATCAAAATAAATGCATAAATCATATAAGGTATCTAAAACTTTCAAACTTAAAGTTAACATTACTTTTTTACTTATTTAATTTATATTCCATATAAATAAAACTAAAATTAAAAATTCGAGAAGCGGATCGACTAAAATTTCAATTAACCGATTATATGATAAAAAAAAAAGGCGGGATAAAACGATTTAATAATAGCACATACAAATTTCTGAAATTAAAAAAAAATAATAAAATGAGAATTAAACGAAAAATGGTAAAATATGTGTTATCACGCAGTAGTAAAAGATAAAAAAAAAAAGGAAAGGAAAGGAAAGGAAAGGAAAGAAAAAAAAATGATAGAACATAAAATTAATATAATATTAATAATTTTCATATTAATAATTTCTTATGAGGAATAACGAATTTGCCGCATAAATAATAAATTCCATTGTATGGATGATGGCAGAATTATTGAAGTTTGAACATTATTATCTTTAGCACTTGTAATGAGCGACTAAAATATGTTTTTTTTTTATGTTAGATAGATAGGTTATATTCACGATAACATTCCATCATGAGGTGCGGTGCCTTGACGATATTTGGCATTATAAGGATTTCTTTTTATTTAAAACCATGAGCTCATTCATACAAAAGAAATCAACTTTCAACACGCATTTTTAAAGGCCCTTTAAATACTTATCATCAACAAATGAAGTCATTAAAAAAAAACGGATACTATTATTATTATTATTCGTATTTATAAGACAAAAAAGGTACTTTCAAAAAAATTTGATTCCGAAATAAACAAAAATGGTCAAAATTTAATCATAACAAATTACACGCGTGTTATTTATTTCTTTACTTATTTGAATTGAATAGAAAATAAAATTTTTCATTTGTATACCTTACGACTAACGAAATTGGCCAATTTTCATTCCGATTGATTATTCAAATTAAGAATTTATGATTTCAAATAATTAACTTTGTGCTGTTTAACAGTTTACAATATTAATTATTGTTGGTTGATCCACATAAACTATTCCCATTTGTAGTATTAGCTCATTTTGATAACTACATAGTTTAGAAAATTACGGTCAATTGTAACGTTACATTTAATAATTGCCAGGTTTTGTTTTAGCAAATTTTTTATGAGATTTTTTTTTTGCGGATGAATGTTTCAATTTATTTCATTTACAAAGCGATTATAGTACTATTTTCATTTATTGTAAATTAGCCTAACCATTTTTAAAATTACTTTGTTGTAATTTAGCGAAGATTAATTATCATTTAATTAATTTGTTTTATAGTTTTTATATAAAGTTTTTATAAAACTATATTTTTTATTAATTCATTATATTTAAAATTTCTATATTTTTTTAGCTTATACAGTCCGCGCCGAAAGTAATGGCGGTGGAGATGTCACATCTTTATTTGGCCGTTGCCAAATTCTTGACAATCATCTCTATAATAATGCAAATGAATTATTGGGTCATCGCTGGATTTTTCAGCAAGATAATGACCCAAAACACAAGTCCCATGATGTTCAAAGAGACTTGAAAACTCACCTTCCGGGTTGGGTTCTTCCATAGCCTTCGTATAGTCCGGATCTTAATCCGATTGAAAATGTCTGGATTATTTTAAAGAAAAATATTGAGAAAAGATTAAGAAAATGGTGGCGCAGAAAATTTTTTTTTCAATTTTGAATGTGTCAGGTTATGGCGAGATGTGGCACAGCTGTCAATCAAAATGACTGTCCAACAGTCAAAATAAATTTGACACAATGCGATCTAACTAGTCGTGAAAGCAAGGTTAAAAATAGAATTTCAGATTTACCAGAAATTTTGCCGTGAACGTATGATGATATATGGCTATATTGCACTTGGTAGATAATCTAATTTTTGTAATAATATTTACTCTTTCTGAATTATATTTATTCATTGCTTTTTATTTTTAGGTTATGTCGCTGAAAATGATTCTTTTTATGCATCATTACGAGCAGAATCCACTGAGCAAAATCAAGAACTTATAATTCCTAATGGCTTTTTTACTAATAATAATACTGAGTGGAATAATACCGAGTGGAGGTTTGTAACTTAGATATGTGAATTTAAATGATTTGTAATTCATTACTAAATACATTTAATTGCATGATTTTTTATTATAGAGAGCCAGATGAAGAAAATAAAGAGAATGAAGGTATTGATAAAGCAGATTATCAAAATAGTGGTTCACAATTACGCACTGCATTAGATAAGTTTGCAGAGCATTATAATGCTGCTAAATCTAAATTTAATACCAAGGTTGTGCTCTTTTCTTTATGATCTTAATCGTGATTTAGATCCAACAGCTCGTGTTAAGAGTGAATCCATGATTCGTGTTCAAGTTGAATCAATTAAAAGACGAAAATCAGAGACATCTGGTGGTGGAAAGCGAAAACTACCTGCTACTATCAGTAAAGGAAAGGAAATTTTGGAACCTCAGGTCATTCCTGCTCGAAAAAAGAGGAAAACAAGTAAAAAGGATCATAATTTAAGTAAAAATATATAACATTTTTATTTGCTAAAATATTACTTGTAACTAGTTTACAATGAAAAAGAAACTTTTTATATTTTGCAATATTGATTAATTTCAATAAAATCATGACAAGTTTTCTATTTTTTAAATTATAAACAAAAATTATATTAAAAACAAAAAAATATTAAGAACAAGAAGAAATCAAAAAAATTAACTATTAAAAACGAAGAAAAAGCGAAAAAAACTATTAGATACGAAAAAAAATCAGGGCGAAAAAAAAAAATGAAAAAAAAAAATTAAGAAGCCATTTAAACCAAAAAAAAACTAATAAAAGCGAAAATACAACGCAAAAAAAAAATTGGGGGACTGTCAGTCAATTGACTATTCCAGTTAGTTCCGTCACATACTTTAAGCAATATATCCGGCACATTCAAGATATGCCTAGGTCCATAATTTTGATATTGGGTGCAGATGATGTCTTGTTTAAATATCAGAAAGCATTTCGAAGTGAAGTATTGGAATGCTAGTATTAATAGATAGCAACTGACACAATCATTATTAAATCAATAAATTTCAAGATAAATGAAAAAAAAAAATGTTCTACTAGGTGATAAATGAATTATTGTGTCTTCATTTTCATCCATCCAGGTAGCCAATCTCCGGTAATGCCAATATCTGAACATATCATTTGAATTTCGTGGAGGAACCGTCAGTACATTTATGATACCAATGAAGCTTCTTAAGCGGCTGATGACATTGGTCGATGACAAAGAATTGGATTCAGCATCGAGAATAAGGTAAAGACTAAGATGATAAGAAAAGTTAAACACCATCCAAAGATTAAAAACAGGATGTAAAATTAAAAGCCTAGTTGTGTCACCTAAATCCAAAAAAAGTTGATAACTCAAAATTTTACTCGTTTTGTTGTTATAAAAATACGCGTTTAAAATTTTTAACAGTCTCAAAACATTATCAGCTTACATATCTCATCATTTTATTATTATTATTATTATTATTTTAAAAAAAAGGATTCAAAACGAATGAACATCTGTTGATTACCTATTTAAAGTAAAATTTTGATAACCTAATATGAGACAATATTATTTTAATGGTGTTGTGACTTTGATTGCGATACTTGAAACCCTCGATAATAAAGGAGTTACACAAGAAGTAATTGTAGAATATTAATTTGACCTACAAGATGTTGAGTCAACATGAGTTTCGATTTTGCGGATGCGCCTTCACCCGTTAATACGCGTAAGGAACAAGAAAGGCAAAAAAAAAGCTCAAGAGTAAGGAACCGATTCGAAAAGTAAACAAATCCATATCCAAATCGGACCGAGAGAATGAGGAGTAATTTACACATTGATATGGTGGGCTATGATCAAAAACCATTTTGTTCTACTCGTTCACAATAAGAGAAGAAAAATGGAAAAATGATTAAAAGAATATTTGGTGGGTTTTAAAATATTGCTTGAAAATTATTATATTATTAATATGGATTCTTATTATAATGGTAGCCGAACAGTAGTTTAACAATCAAAATAAGATCATCCTGCTCCTTCTTTACGATACATTTTATTGGAACTTTTATTTATAGTCAAGGCTGTCACAAAAGAAATTGATGAAACTTTGTTTTTAATGAACAATGTATTAATTGTCTTTAAACAACTGAACAATGCAAACGATAAATAGTGATTAACGTGAAATTACAATATGAGAAAAGAATTAAAATGTGAATGGTAAAATTGTAACAAAAGTATCTATCCTATTCTCTATTAATAATTATAAGTCTCAACATTTAAAAAATATTGATTTTTCTATCATAAAATAAACGCGTGTTGTCCATTTATTTATGATAATCTATTAAATTTAATTCTGAAATCACGAGAGTTTTTTTGAACCGGTTAGCAAAATTCAAAATATGAATTGACATTAATTTGTGAATATATGATGCTGAATATTTGGCGATAAATTGCGTATTAATTTCGATAATAAATAAATAAAATTGAAAAAAAAATTATTTTTAACTTACTGTCCATTGCCATTTGTCGTTGTTCGATGCGAACTCGAGCAGTACTTTGTGCCATAAAAAGTTGAGATTCTTGATCTTGTACTTGCTCAATTGACATTTTGTGTCCTATTACTATAAATTTCAGGTTTATTTTTTTTTGTTGATTTATTGTTAAACATATAATATCTTTAGTAATAGTATCATCGAATGTATTAATATCAACTTGGGTATTTATAAGAGTTATATTTGGTAAGTTGCAAATATCTATTATAATATTATAAAAATGAAAAATATATATTATTAAATGTTTAAAAACTATTATTGCTTTCAAATTCGTAATTACTTTTTGATAGAATTTCTAACAATTCTTTCAAGAAATCGTCCAAAACGGCCTCGTTTTCATAAAAAAAAAAAATTGTGAAACATGTGTATCGTTAAACAAACTTCTAAGCCAATGATCCTAATTCAGAATTCAGAAATCGCGTACAAGTGAACTTACGCGAAAATCAAATGTTATCGATGCACCTTTATTTTGTATTTGGTTATCGAGCAAATAAAATGAGCCAAGCCAAATTATCAGAACTTATTCATTTATCACGTTGATGGTTGCTTGCATTGTTGAAGGAAATTCTTGATTTGGTACTAATAAAGTTTTAATTTCCAAAAAAAAAAAGAAAGAAAAGAAAAAGAAAAAGAAAATAAATCACTTAAAATTGATAATAAATGATGTTTAATAATATTATACTATAGCCTAGTTCAGATAATTATGAGATTCTATCACAAACCTAATTGGTTATATCGCGTCAAGCCTTTCGCAATAATGCAAGCATTTCATAAACGGGCGACAAAGCAATTACTGAAGTTATAAGTCTTTTAAAGAATGGGGGATCGATTTGGATCATAAACGATTTCTAATTTTGCAGGTTCTTTTTTTATTTATTTTTTTATTTTATGTTTTCATCACGAGTAATGATTAATGTATTGACATCATCAAATTTATGCTTAAATTAATGTTTAGGTAGAAGTTGAATTAATATCGCAGATGAAACCCAAAGCACCAAATGAGCATGAATATGGACACAAGAATATATTGAAGACATTGTCGGAACTTTTAATATAAGTTCTCCTGAAGAAGCAAATGAAAAGGGTTGAACCATTGGATGAAAACGATCAGAAAAATTAAATCGCGTTAAAATAGTTAACAAAGTTTAGAGGTAGTAAATGGCGTTTGTAATCATTAAATAACAATAATGATTCGAACCTTATTGAATTGAAAGGCTAAGAAAAAAAAAGCAGAAGATTTTCTCCGAGATGAAAACACGTTAGCTTTGAAGCAGTCCGCCCTTTATCAAAAAATTTGCTAGAGTGTAAGATTAATACTGAAATATTAACTAAGGCTGTGGTAAGTCATTAGATTTAATAACTTATTCAGACAAGTTAATTTAATATGGCAGTTAATTTATTTATTAATTCTTAGATAAATTAAAAGATCAACTAAGAGATGAAAGAAAAAGAAAAGCATGTTCAGATAAAACAAGATAACAAGGATCTTGAAGACAAATACAGGTAAAATAATTATTAAATTTACAAATAAATAAACTTTCATTAATTAATAATTGTATTTATTTTAATAAACAACTTGAAAAAGAAACTAATGAAATTCTAGAAGAATTGGCAAATTATGTGAAGAAAGAAAGAAACACGCAATTTCTAAACAGAAGAAAGTGACAATGGCAATTTATACGGTAGGTTATGTTATTTCGATGCACAGATATATTCGAGAAATACAATAAGCTTTTATTATAGACTTTCGGAAGCGAAAACAGCATTACGATTTAATGAACAGGATTTTAATGATCGAATGGAAAAAATGGTGAACTTGAAAATATCTTTAGAGGTCCAAGAAAGTAAACTCGAAAAATCAGGGAAGGCTTAATGGGTATGTGAATCGATTACTTTATCTAATTGTGTAAAGACCTTTTTAATATTATAAATAAATTTAATTTTATATAAAGGCAAGTCAGGAGTTTATTCAAACCAAATTGAAGAGAACTTGCACCTTGGTTAGAGAAAATCATTGCAAGGCAATCACTTATTGATGTCAACCAATCTGAGTATAAATGAGAAAGTTGATTCAATAAGACAAGATCTTAAACAAGCAGAAGAAGATGCTGTCACGCTTAGAGAAATGTCGGAAAAAGGTATTATTATAAGGCATCAATTGCTTTTTTTGTGATGATTTAA